ACACACACACACACACACACACACACATATATATATATATATATATATATATATATATATATATATATATATACACACACACACACATAGTGTATTCTCTGATGTGTATATTTGTTTTACATGGGTATATATGTAATCTATGAGTGTGATGTGTATCATAGATTTCAGAAGGAATACATGATGTGCTAATATACAGAAACAACTACACTGGATTTTATCAACTAATATATATTGAAATTATTGAACAGATGTATATGTACTAAAAATTATGATTACTTACTTTTGCATACCTGATCACCAATTTCAAGAAGGCAAAATACTTGTACAAGAAGACTTTTGAAACCAAAACTAAAATGGTGTAGTAGATGGTAGTGGAACCTCAGTGTCTATTGGTTGGGAAATAAGTGTGGTGAAAGTGAGAGAGGGTAGTATCATTTATAAGAATGTGCACAAATAACACCTTCATATTCTTATGCTGCGAAATTCCACGCTCATGAAATGGGGGACCATAGTACTGAAACACCTACTATGTAATTGGATAAGCCCGGCTCAGAACCTACAATGTTTATTGGATGTTTTATTGCAATTTTATTACCCTGGGGAATTCCTGTTGAAAGTGTTGTAGGAAATATAAACTGCTGTAACCCATATTGTGTTCTTGGAGCAAGGAGAATGTCACCTCACTGAATATGCATGCATTTTTGCACTCGAGAGTTTCGTATTACGATTGTATTTAAACGGTCTTATAACACAAGCGGTGATTTATTGCTTTATTGTCAGTGGGTTTGTAATTTGTCATTGACAGTAAAATAAACACAGAAAATATATGGGATATGTTTAGTAGTTGAAACTGTCAGGGGAAGTACTTTGAAACTTGAAACTTCGTGATCAATAATGAAGAAAGAAAACAGCTGCTCAATATATTTCTGATTTTACAATTTTTCTTTTCATTTTACTTTGATGAATTGTCTACAGGCTGAAGAATCAAATAATAAATGTAATAACAGATAAAATATAACATTTTATTGAAAAAAAACTATACATGTATTTAGGAGGTTTCAGAGGTTGTGCAAATGAAATTTGAGATTTTTGAAACAAAGAAAAGTATTTTAAATCTTAAAATGAAAATTACTACACTCAGACTAGTTAAAAAAAATAAAAGATATTTTCACAGACAAACATAAGAAAAAATACTTCATTGAAAAATTTATTTTTTGTGTGCAAAAGGCTTTTAATGTTTGCTATAAGTCTACAAAATTTTGTAAAGATACACTTAAAATATTAAAGTTATTAGTATGTAAACTATAACGAGTACAAGTGGTTACGAGGTGGGTCAGATTGACCGAGCCTGTGTTGAGAGTTAAGGAGAAACTGTCAATTTGCATAATGGAACATGCAAATTAAAGGTTTGTGAATAGATTTAAGTGTACTGGAACACACACCCTAGATAAATGTGATGTAGTCGTACACTCAAATTGTTTTAAATTTTATCAATAGCCAATAATGAACAGTCTCCACATAAAGGAGAGCTTGCTTGTATGTAAACTGAGGCCAGAGATTAACCGAATAAATTCCACTTTAAATCTACATTTGTTTACAGTGTATGTTCAGATATTCAAGGGATATTGATTACTTAGGTAAGAAAGTAATTTTTTTATTATTTCAGAAATGTTTTTCAACTTTTAGTAAATTTCAGAAATAAATAGATATATGAATATAATTTTATAATTAGTATTGTGGATGGAAATTTTCAAACGTTAATTATATTTCAGCCTATCCCAACAACTCCCTTAAAAGGAGGAGTGACAACTCTCTCTATCTCCTGTTCTCGAGGGTACAAAAGGAAACGACATAAAGAGTCAGTTGCTCACCAGTTAGCTCTAGAAGTGGCTCAGGAAGAATTAGATCCATTAGTAGGAGCCCCAGAACACAAACGACGCTCCAGTGAGCGAGCGAGCTTATCAGTTAGTGGTTCTTTTTTAGATGCTACATTTTCGCCAGATTTTTTGGGTAAGAATTTTTGTTAGCAGAGTTTTGTTTAAACCTAACTACTAATTGTGTTACAGGTTTCATTATTATAAGATTATGGGCAGAAAAACTTTTAGTGATCATTTTTACCGTTATAAGATTTATATTAAAAATCTTGTCAAAATTTCATAATGATAGTGTGGTATATAAATAGCTTTAGTTACTAAAAATGATATGACTTTTACATAAAGATTTGTTTTATAATTGAATTTTTTTATGTTATCTATATGTATAAGGTTATTGTGAATGTATATTTAATATTTGTCTTACTTTACTGATTTAATTTCATGTATTGCACTGTCCTTGTTATGTTTATATAGACAGTTAGAAAAACATTGACTTATAATAGACATAATTTGTAACTTTAGAATATTTGGAGACTAACATTTGTTTTACTTACAGAAATTATGTGTATCTATCTGATAGTTAAAACATTGTAATTTTACAGAAGGACCACCTGATATTCCATCAGAGACTTTAATAAAAAGTCCCATAGAACTCAAATCAATGACCAATCGGCAGCAGGTCTGCATGGAACTACTGCAAACAGAAACCAATTATGTAGGAATATTGAGCACCATTGTAACAGTAAGTATCAGTAAATCCTAGTCTTGATGGTCATTTTTATTGATATTTTTAAAATAACTGTTTTTTTTTAAACAAGTTTAAAAATAGAGAATCAGATGTGGATATTCTTGCCAAGACCTTTTCTATCTTAATTTTTTGGTTTATATATATAAAAAAAGTTAATATAATACCCTCAGGCTGATTAAATGATATTACAGAAGTTGCTGACATTATTAGATGGTTGTTGCTAATGGAAGAACAATTTAACTAGTAAATGCACAATTTCTAATCTTTGGTTTAGTATATGTGTGTACAGGGTGACCATAAACATGTGAAAGTCAGGAAATCCTTTAGAAAGTAATCAAAAAATCAAATAAAACTAAATAATTATCTCAAATGGAAAGTTGGGGGAAATTCTTTACCTTCCCTACTCCTTTTTAAAATGTACATGTGTATACTAATCTTGCTGTTTATCTATGTCAATTATTGACTTATTTTAACATCATGGTTAATCACTATTATTTTATCTGATAATTATTGTCTAATTATTTATATTTGATAATAGATGAAATGTTTTTCTAATTAATAAAAATGTAATATTTTTATTAGCTACCATCAAGTTGCAATTTCCTTGTTTGAAGATTTTTTGCTATGATATAATAATCTTAAGTAAGTTTGTTGTGAAGATTTTATTACTCATTATAATGAGAGTGTAATGTAAAGAGGTGTTGATTGGGGAGAATTATGAGGTAAAGTTAAAATAACAGTGTGCTGTATGTACACACATGCAGGTCAGGAAAATGTCTTGGAAAGAATGGGGCTGGCAAAATTGTTGTATAAGTAACTTTGCAGTTACTGGTAAAACTGTGTGTCCTTTTGCACTATTTTTTTTAACATTATCAATGAATACATCAATACCTTTAAATACTTGATAATAGTTTTTAATTTCATTTGACATTTCTGAAATATTACTGATTTTATAGGAATTGTTTATCTCAATAATTTTGTCTTCAAAAGTTAAAAACTGTAATAGTTAGTTTTACTATTTCTATTTTACCATTTTTAGTTATTTAAAGAACCATTGGAACAACCTGATCAAGTTGGTGGATCATTGTTGGATGCCACAGAGACAAAAATCATTTTTGGAAATTTACCACCTATATTTGAGGTTCACAAAAAAATCCGCGAAGAACTGGCAACTTTAATGCAGAACTGGAAAGAAGAACACAGTATAGGCAATCTCATTCTTCAGCATGTAAGTACTTTATTATGCAATTTTTCTTTCCATTTGTCAGCCTTAGCTTAAATATCCTTGCCTTTTTTATTCTTAATTTTAAAATTTAATTTTGCAGGAAGCAGACTTCAAAAAGGTATGGCATATAAAAAGAATTACCACTGCTTTAGGAAAATAATTTATAGCAATGTATTGTATTGTATGCAAATTTTTAATGTTATTTTTCTATAAACTTACAGTCTAGTGATCTTATGAGAGCTTATCCACCATTTGTAAACTTTTTTGAGAAAACCAAGGAAATGCTTCTTCAATGTGACAAGAATAAACCAAGGTTTCATGCTTTCCTTAAGGTAAGGAGCTTTGAAACATCAGTTTAATGTGATATGTTCAATAGTGTTTGTCTTTAAGTAATTTGTTAGCAAATAAATGTGGGGAAGCAAAATTTAGTTCAATGTGCATCAGTTTGTTGACCAAGTTTTCAAATTTAGATTAAAATACAGTGTTGTAAATGTGGTGTGACACTATATGGATTTATATAAAACTACTTAAATGAAGAATTAGATATAAGCTGTGGTAGCTTAAACATGCTTTATCAACTTGTCTTTAGCAGGCATGACATAGAGAGGTAATTTCTATATTTGAGGTGTGGTGTCATTGGTAGTATATAAGAAACAGTCTAATAAGTGTACAATATTAAAATACTATTAAAAATCTATTTCCATCTCACTGTGTTTGGATTCACTTCTACAAATACTTTTATAATATCTGTCAGAAAATACATTACAGGAAATTTTTAATCCCCCAGTGTGCACATACATTTACACTTGTCGTGTTATAGGTATAAAACTCCCAAGTTCACACTGGTGAAGATTATTGAAATGCCTTCATTGTGCATTTAGAATACACTTATTCTGTTGTATATAGGAAACTCCTCCTGGTGGGGATTATTGCTCGAGTTCTAATATAGGAACATGATATTTATAGTTCTGTGTAATGCATCAGTATTGTGAGTCATCCATTCGTGTTTCAGCTGACACATTACTCTGTCTTTCTAGATTAGATGTGTGCTGAGTCAAAATATTACCAAAAAAATTCATTAATGTTAATTCTTTGTCAAAATGTTCTTCATTGGATGCACAGCTCCTTAAAAAATAGCATATACTTCATTATGATAAATATATGGAATGTGAGGGAAAATGTACCATATAATCAAGTGATTTTCCACAGACAGTCCTTCATTTTTTTTTTGTAATTAGTGTGTAGGTGTGATAGAGATTTTATCATTGAATACTACTTTGTGCATGTTAACTTTTCTGAGAAGTGAAACTGTTTATGACAAATATCACTCTAACATTAAATGGATACAAATTTTTTCTGAGAAGTGTTGCTTAACTATTTCTGTAAACTAATTGGCTTATATATTCAGTTCCCATGAAATAGATGACTATTACTATTCATTGAATTCTGGCTTCTTTGGTGAATATTCTGAAATATAATCTGAAACTTATTAAAAACAGCTAATATGATTACAACTATAAACATTACAAGACACTAATATTGGCTTTTATTATTAAAATATTTCTTAGATAAACTGATGAAAAGTGAAATTTAATTGTTAATTTCAAATCATAATTCAGAGTACCCTCAACAATTTTTCAATGTTCTGGGACAATTAATGTTTAAAAACTGAGAATCCCCATATAAAATTTAGAGTCCTGTTGAATTTCTTTAGTTCCCCTGATGAAGAAGGGTCTATCTTTTGAATGCATTTGTGTTATAATTTTTTTTATTTTTGTCTTAAAAAAAATGTTCACATAACATGTTTTCCGACATCATGAATAAAGTTCACAGTAGCGATAAAATTAATACAGATAATATCTTTTATTAAAGATAATTAGCCTTTCATTCTGATATAATGTACTAGAGAATACTAAGTATTATTTTAGTAAGTTAATATTAAAAGAATACTTTTGATATTAACTAAATTTTATATTTATTTATTTCAGTCTGACATGATGCTATAGAGTAATCATGTTGTTAATTCATAGCATAAAGAATTAAACAACTACTCACAGTTATGCATAATTTTTTTTATTTCAATTTTTCACTTTAACACTTAACAGAAGAACGATTAATTGTTATTAATTGTTGGATAATCAAACTAAACCCACTATTAATGATAAATATGGCAAAACTCAAAAATTTAACAGTGAGAAATAACCTCATCTTTCAAATTGGCATCATCATTACTTATATTAGGTGTCATAGTATGATATTGTAGTAACAATATTTTTTGCCAAGATCAATTTATATCTAATAGTTATTTGCTTTGTTTTACCTTTCTGTGTATATTTTTTGAATACATTAAACTAAATATTATAAAAATGGATTTGTATTGTTTGATTAGTTTGTTGCAGGTCCAGCCTGCTATAATTGCTATAATATTCTTAGATGATCATGATGTCTTGTTATAGAATAATATTCCTGTTTTTCAGTAGGTATAGTATTGCAGAAAAACATCAAGTATGAAAAGAAAAACACAAAAATATATAGGGATGAAAAACTGACTTCTGAATATTATAGAAGTTTTTGAATTTTGAGTCCCGAGTAACCCTTGAGGCTGGAAACAGTTGCTTGAAACAAAATTATGGATTGACAGAGATAAATGTCTTTTTTTTTATGCATATATTACTTGAAATGATGTAAGAGCAACATATAATAGTTAGTAGCATGTGCAATTGTAATGCATTATTTTCCATTTTGAACTAATCCCATTTGGAAATATATGAAAAAAGTTCTAATATTTGTGCATTTATAGGGCACAAGTGAATTCACTTTTGTACATCCTGACTATTTTGTACACAAATGTATATGAATTAGCATGCTAATAAGCATCTACATTTTGAATTTTACACTTACCTTTATATAAGGATACTGTTCATTTTTGGCATAATTTATCCCCTCTTTGATCTCTGATGGAAATGCATATTTTCCCATGAACTTAATGAATAACATAATGGAAGGAAGTTTAAATAAAACATGGATCTGTTATAACATTTAATGATAGGAAATTATAGGAGATAAGATAGCCTTTTAAAAAGTAGATTTTTTTAATGTCATAGTGCATAATTTGATTTTGTGATTTTCATCCATTTATCCAGCGTTGTCAAAGTAAGCCTGAGTGTGGTCGTCAGAACCTGGTTGAATTACTTATTCGCCCTGTTCAGCGGCTGCCTAGTGTAGTTTTGTTGCTAAATGGTACGTACAAGTTTCAATTGTACCTATAAATTCTTTGTTTTAATTGTGTCTTTTTTCCTTAAGGTTATCTCCTGGAGATCTTTTGTTATCACTGTAGTATACGCTCCATTATGTTGATGATGCTTCATTTAAAATCTACTTCCTCATGTAAGATTCTTCCCAATATAATCTTCACCTAATTATAACAAAACCCATATTATCCTTTTACATTTGGTATTCACGAATGTTGTTAAATACTTACGAGTATTTATTTAGATTAAAGAAAGTATCATGGTTGTCTATTCCTAAACTAGAAAATTCTAAATTATTAACTATAAATAAAGTTCAACAAGTATGATGGTTTTTAATGACAGATATTCTGAAGCACACAAATAAAAGTAACCCAGACCATGAAGCTGTAGACAAGGCTATCAGATCTCTGAAAGAAGTTATGATGTAAGTAGTTTTGTTTTCTGTTTAATTTTGCTAATTAAAAAACATGGATAAGATTTTTAAGTGGTCTGAAGTAGTATTCAAATTATAAGATTTTTATATTTGTAGTTATAAGTATAAAACCAAATTCAATAGACATTTGTTGGGCAACAGTTAAATGGAAATTATTTTTATAAGAGCTTTGAAGAGCAAGTACTGTAATGTGCATATTCAAATCAAAAGGTTCTAATATTTGTACTTAGCCTTATTTTACAATTTGTCTTTAAAAGAGATTTTATACATTGCATCTTAGAAACTAATATTTCTATTTAATATTAACTTAAAATATGCATATGAAACAATTTGAAATTGTTAAAATTCATACTTTACTAGGGATGCACGGGTACAAGACCGGGTATTGAGCTACCCGGTAATACTTGGCTCAGGCTGAGTCTTGGAGTTGGGCATCTAAGCCCTAACCTTTGTGCCAACTAACATGGTACAGTCAATAATTGGTTTAAGTTAAAAAAAAAAAGTTGTTCCGAGCAACAAAAACTGGCCGCCCGCTGAAAGTTGGGGATTCAGAGAACAATGGGAGTTAATAACAGGCATGGCTTGAGAAGTGGATTTGTGGGGAAGGTGGAGGTTTTGAGAACAATAGGAGTTAGGGTTTGAGAAGTTGGGGCTAGGCATTGAAAGTTGAAAGTAAAACTTGAATGTTATGTTGGTGATTATTTGGTTAAGTGTAATAAATGTCAATTTTGTTTTTAATTTTTGTGTATATTGTTTGGGGGGGGGGGGCAAGGAGAGAACCTAGTCTCGGTTGACACCCAGTTCTGGCCAAGACTTAGTGACCTGGACTCTATTTGGCCAAATTTTACTACCCATGCATCCCTATACTGTACATTTTAGAAGCTCATATTTCTCATTAGTATTAATTTACAATCTGCATATAAAACAAATTCAACTTAAATTTCATATTTCAAATTTTTTACAATGCATTTTTACATATTTCATTAAAAATGCTACTGGAAAAAAGATTAAGATTGTAGAAAGTTTAACATGTATCATATAACATTTCAAAAGTTTTTTTCTGACAAAGAATTTGGAAATATTTTTTTTATAAATGTTCTAGTTTTCTCTAATTGCAAAAGGCTAACAAAAATTTATGAGCTTAGTATATAAGTTTGTCTTTTCCCAAACTATTAAAATGATCTTTTAAAAAATAATTAAAAGACAATTAAATAAATGTATATGTGAATTATAAATTTTGTGAAACATGTTCTAAATTATATTTCATTTGTATATTTGCATTAAAATGAAGTTTCAGAAACATAAATAACTTACTTGCCAATTTATCTATTACCAATGCTTGTTGTGTTAGCTAGCATGTGAAATGTGAGCTTTAATTGAATTTTGTACTTTAGCTTTTTTCTCCTGCCAGTTGAGAGTGAGCTTCTTTGTAATCAATTCAGACTTTCTTGTGGATTAGTTATAACAAGTACTGGAATTACTGTTTTACATTTTGTGTACCACATTGTTAAAGCCTTTCAGATCAGTACTCAATAATGAGCATATTATGTTTTTTGGTGTATTGATTATGCAAAACTATTTATTTTTTAATGCTATATAGACTTAAATTAATAGTGTTGTCCTGTTCATTTAACTCTCTCCTTAAATTTCATAATATTTTACCTTTAGGCACATCAATGAAGACAAGAGGAAGACGGAAGGCCAAGTGGCAATGTTTGACATTATAAATGACATTGAAAATTGTCCAGTATGTTTCCTTAACATGAATTTGTTTACATTTTGCAAATATGAAGATCTTGGCTTTAATCTAATAACTACATTACATACAAAATTCTGAATTTATACCAATTTTAAATTTGATGTTACTCTGTGTTACTATAGGTTTTTGTTGTTGATAGGAATGTAGTAATACAGTGATTGTATTTTGATATGATGAATCTCTAATATGAAAGTTTTTGATAGTAAGTTCATCCAGTAGTTCACTTAGAAAACAAGAAAAGGCCAATAGGTACTACAAATAATGAAACGAACATTAATTTTAAATTGGAGAGATATTAACTCTTTGGTTCATTTGGGGTTTTGATGATGTACCACTTTATAGTTGTATACTTCATTTAATATTTCAGTTTATGATCAAGGTATCTTAAGTAAACATCGTCATAATTTTTTGTGTGTGTGTCAAGATTTGGGATTGAAATTAAGCTTGTGCTTTTAAAACTAACTATTATTTGTTGCTCACTTCGGATTTCAACATGTTATAAATTGCAAGTGTAATAAAAGCAAAACATTAATTATAAAAAAAATAAATGGAATAAAAATGAATACCACAATACCAAAGAGAAATAGAACAGTTAAGAAAATACATTATGGTTTTGATTAGTTACATATTACCCTGTTTAATGTTATTCACATTGTTATGTTACATTATAACCTTAGTAGTTGTGAATTAAAATATTTTAATAATTTGTCTGAATAAACATTTGGTTGTTATATTTCTTACAATATCATAATTATGTTAGGTTCAGTGATTGTGCTACCTTTAATATTCACATCTACTTTGATTTTTCAAAAATTTTTCATTGGTTGTAGCTTATGTTATCCTTTTGACCTTACAGTGCTATCTCATATGCATAATATAGTGGTTTTGGGAAAGAAAACATTGTTGGTTCTAAACAAAGAAGAATCATATGCAGTTAGAATTAGTGGTCTTAATGAGTGTTTGTTTTTATATCTTTAAAAAAATATTCTTTAAGTTCAGTTATCTTTAACCATATGAAATTGTGTCATTAATTTTTTTTATTATTTGATCTTGCAAGTCATGACTTGTGGAGGTTATTTAAGGTAAGGGCTTACACAATCCATTTGTCAAGGTTTTAAGTCATTTTATGTAGTTTTTTTTATAATTTAGTAATATATGTCTTTTTACCAATACACTTGTTATGGATGGAAATATTTTCATTTTTGATATATTTTCATATGTTTTGGTGATACTTTTCCTTTGTCATATTGTTAAATTATATGCATCTGATGCAAAAACTTAAACATTTGCTGTTTATATTGGTTTCATAGCTTTTGTTTAAGAAAACTTAATTTTCAGGCTCACCTCCTGTCTTCTCATCGAAGTTTTGTAACAAGAGCAGACACCCAGGAACTAGGAGATAGCATTAGTCGTAGAGGAGACACTATTACCATGTTTCTGTTCACTGATATGCTAGAGGTAATTCTAAACAAAGTAAACAAAAGTTTTACTATGTAAATCCAATATATATATATATGAAAACACTAGAATATTAGACTTCTTTCTTTTTATTAATTTCCCCTACTGGTTTCGTGACTTCAGTAGGAATTGTGAAAACAGTTACTGAGACTTGCAGAAAAGAAAGGTAAAGTAAAATATGAAATTATAGGATAAATAATTTTCATTTCTATTATAATAATAAGAAAAGATATAATTAAAGTAAGATTTTAATTTATACATGGACTGTATTATATGTTTGTACATTTGGAAAGTATATGTATTTAATTTAGATTATTTATGATTAGGTGAAAAGCGGTATTTGTATGTTTTTTGTTATAGGTTGTAAGTAAAACTATTTTCTGAAAAGTGACTTTTGAAGTCTTGAAATTAACAAAAAAAAGTCTGATAAGTGTTTTCTTATTTATATCCACTGGTGAATCTTATTGATGTTTTGGTTATGTATGTAAAAGTTGTGTGAAGTTACAGTTCAGTTTTTTTTTATTGTAAAAGGTGTTTGAGGCTGTCCAGCTAGATCAAACTTATCTATCTATTAAACTAATTTAGCTTCATAAGTTATGTATAAGATCATTTGATAAGAGCTGGGCTTGAAATTTGGACATTGCTTGTTTTTATAGGTCTTTTTGTTTTCATCTACTGCAGGGGACAAAATAGTTTTGTGGATTTGATTAGCAGAAACTGTTAATTTGTATTGTAGTTGATTAGCAATTATCAAATATTACTTAGCATCTTTTTAACATTCATCAATTTAACACATTATGGCAACTAAATCCAGCATTAAAAGTCTTAACTCTGTGTAAAGAGATCCACTAATGAAAAATATGTAAATCATATGTTTTTATTCTAATAACACTTTTATCCAGTATCAACCCCTAATATTTAATTGTACCATACATAGCATTTCATGAACAAAATAATTTCTGGTATATAAAGTAAAACTTTATAACTGCAAGAAATACCAAATGCCTCAGTTTTCACAAAATAATGCAACGATCGATTAGCCAGAGAAAGAAGTGACTTGAAGATGTTGCAACTGAACAAGGTTGCCACAAATCATTTTTCAAGTTAGTCTAGTTTTATTTTTTTTGGGTGAGAACAGTAGTAATTAGCCCTCTTGCCATGGGCATCCTTTACTGTACATGTCACAAGGTTTTTAGTGAGTTACATTCAAAATTTAATTTAACTGCTTTTTCTTCACATTATTCCAATTAGTATAGCATAAAAATCATAGCTAATAATCCATATATTAATAGTATATAAGTATTGAGTTCTTAATTTTTAAAGCCAAAATTTAAAAAAATCCTAAATTTCACCTAGTATGAGAATTGTAACATTTACTCTCTCAGTATCCCCTCTTCTTTAATTTATTTACCACTCCTCCAAGAAGTATGAAATTTAACATAAATTACTCATTATAGTATTTTATTGCTCAGGCAATATCTAATTTTCATAGCCTTTAATTTGGTTTGGTTACAGAGCCATCAAAGAGAAAATCAGACTTCTCTTGCCACACATATCTGACACATCCTCTCTTTCATGATTTGTTTCTAGTTCTTTCTTACATTTAATACTATATTACTTATAACCTATAGAAAGCCATGGTTTTTGTCTATCAAATGATGTATTATGTTGTTTTATGTACAGAAAAATTTTAATTTCTCTTTTAATACAAGCTTTATTATTCTTGGAAATACATTAACTCTATTGCCACAGATATCCTTTACTGCGCATGATATAAGGTTTTAGTGTCTTACATTCAAAATGTTATTAAACTACTTTTTGTTTATGTTATATCAATTAGAATAGCATAAAATCTTAGCTAATAATCCATATTTTAATAGTACACAACTTTTAAGTTCTTAATTCTACAAGGCAATTTATAATAAATCCTGAATTTCCATTAGTTTGACCCACGTGACACATTTTACCTTAGCATCTCATCATCCCTATTTTATCCACCAACCATCGGAAAAGTACGAAATTAAACGTAAATTACTCTATAAAATCGTTATTGTTCAGACAAACCATAATTTTGATAGTCTTCAATTTTGTTCGATTACAGAGCTATCAAATAGAAAATCGGATCCCTCCTGCCACACCCACCTGTCAAATCATCTCTTTCAGAATTCATTGATAGTTCTCTCTTATGTTTCATTATATATTACCTATAACCAATAGAAAGTCGAGGTTTTCATGTATCAAATGACGTATTGTATAACATTGTGTTCTGAACAATCAGAGTAGCAACATCGTTCCCATGGGAAGTTAACAGCTAGCTTGGATGAACTTGTAACGACTCTTGTCGCATAGTTAAAAGCCAGAAAAATTTTGAGAGGTAAGGGAATTTGTCTACTTTTTGAATGTTATTAGTCTATATTCTTTGGTGCATCATTTAATTAAATAAAAATTATTTAGTGCATTACTATCATTAGTATAAAAAATTAGAGTTAACTCTCTCTGAAAACTGACAGCAAGAAAAAATAAGATTGGTTATGTATTTTATTTTTTGTTTTTCATGTTTATTCTTTGTGTAATTATAAAAAGTAACTAAAATGTAAAAATAGGGATCCTTTTAGGTTTGTTAAGATTAGATTAGGTAAAATAAATAATAATATAATAAACAATTTTCATAAGACACTCTCGCGAGTATCTTTGAGTAACTCATGGGTTATGGTGAGAATTGTAGTTAGACATGGTACAAAGAGCAATTAAACAATAAAATTTAAGTACAAATAGACATATATAAGTTATGAGTTTAAATTTTTTGGAATAAAAAAATGTAGTTTCATGTTGCAATTTGAAGTCATTATTGAAATAAAAAGGGTACTTTAGATTTCTTTATTTTTTAGTCAAATTAACCAATCTTGTATAGAGTGAGAGTAGAGAAAATAGCAGATAAGATTTAGTTTTACTGAAAAACAAAAGTTTGAAATGTACTTAAGAGGTTTTAGAGATTACACAAATGACATTTGAGACGAAGAAAATTATTTTTTATCTTAACATAAATCATTTTGCACTCGAACTGGTAAAAGAAAAACTCAATATATTCACAGACAAACCTTTTGTAAGAATACTTCATTAAAAACTGACTTTTTGTGTACAAATGACTTGTAATGTTTACTAGATGTCTGCCAAATTTTGTGAAGATACATGCACTGTATTAAAAGTTATAGTATTGAAACTTTATAGAAATAAAAATAGTCATATGGCCAGTCCATGTTGATTATTTGGCTAGTCTGTGATCGCAGAACGGTTGCATTTGAAGTGTCATGAGCAGACTTCTACAAAGTGTATGTGTACGAGATATGCATATGATAAAGTATGAAAATACTGTTTGTGCTGTTTGGTGGGATTTTCCAAGAAATGAAACCTTACAAGACAACATACAAGAGGAAGGAATGATTCAAATGTTATGCTAAGCAAAGAGGAAAATGATTTATAACTGGGGTAGTTTGGATTTGTAAACTGAGATGCAAATCCAGATATTTTGTCTCCTGTACTGGCACTAACTAATTGGTTAATTCTTTAACTTAGTTACTAGATATTCACTTGGTGAACAAAAAGTGTCCAGATCAGTGCTACTCATGGATATCCTGAAAGTAGAAGTTTAGTTTTGTTATATCGTATTATAGATCTGTAGATACATTAACCTAATCTTGTGAAATTATTGTTTGTTTAACAAATATTTGACATATTTCTCTTAATCCAAAGCATGATGTAGTTAATATATAGTGTTAAGTGAATTCCTATTACTGTTTTGTTGTCCTCCAAATAGATCTGTAAAAGGAGAAGTCGAGGAGTTGGTGCTGGTAAAAGTCCTGGTCTAACAACTCTTTCTGCAGCAGGAGCTGGGTTTAAGTCACAACAGAAATGTTTTAAACATCTTCAGCTGATGCCTTTACCCCATATTAAACGTGTAGTGGATATCAAAGAAACTGATGGTAGGCTGTTGGACATTGTTGTTATCTCTCAGTGCATTTATACTTATTGAAAATAATCTTTTTTTTTCTTTCAAAGTTATACATATTGATTAATTGAATACATAAAACATACAGGGAAAAAATTTTAAACTGACTCAGTGGTGGTAAAGTAGTGGTAGTGCTGAAATGGAAGTGCAAATAGTACATACAGATTGTGTTTTTTTAATTCAGATTGCAAGAATACTTTTGCTTTGGTAGTACGGTCTAACCAGGAATTAAAAGAACGACTTTACACTTTTATTCTACTTGGTGAGGATGTTGACAAAGGCCATTTCCTTCGGTTGTTATGTAGACACATGGCCAATGCTGTATGTCGAGCAGATGCTGTAAGTGGTTTTAATATTTTTAATTTCTTTAGTTGAAATATGTTATAAAGAGAATTTTTAACTAATAATAAATATTAGTGTCAGTAATGTATCTTTTCTTAATATGTGTACCTTTATTGCAGAAGTAATAAGTGTATTATATTTTTTGTGCAGCTTGAATTACTGCCAGTTTTGAAGATTAGAAAAATTATTTACCTGTGTACATTGTTCATATATGAGCTTTAATTGTAAGCAAAATAAGCAAAGGAAAAAATTATGCTTCTTTTCTGTAAAACTAAAAAAATAGTAAAACAGAAGCTTGAAAAAATATATCATTCTTCTGCTTTCATAAATTTGCTGTAAATATTATCCAATCATTTTGTTTTTGGACTATTTTGGAAAAAAGTAGTTATTATGATAGAAACTAAAAGAACACGTTTGTAGATTTACATTCAACATTTCATCTAGGTATTATTTTATAAATGTATATCAATAAGTTTGGTATCAAATTGTAGATTATAATTCAAATGTTAGTATTAGTTCCTTAATTTAAAACTAAATATTTAAAAAAAGGCTAAATATCAATTTTTGTATGTCACATGGTATGTGGTCTTCTGGGTTTGGTAAGATTACATTTTATGATACCCACAATGCAGCGTCTATAGTTTCATACGAATTAGAAACTCAAATATTCTATATTGGCAAGCTAGAATATAAAATAAGAACCTCTTATATTTTCTATTTGCTGAGATATAATGATATTTAGCTAACCCACCACTTCATCATTTGAGAAGACATATTTATCTATGCCTACTTTTATATACCAATAACTTTATAATCAGTAGAAAGCTATATATTTATTCTGCATAATTCTGTCAGTCTTCTTAAGTTATTTATGAGAGAAATGCTCTTATATCATTCGAAAGTTTGAAGTATTGCTATCAAGGCTATTTTGTGAATATAAATTATATTTTTTTAGACTCAAATACAATTTAGTTAGGAAGCCTGATAAATTACAGTGGAATTTTGGGGTATTGGTATGTTAATTTATAATTTTTTGTATTCCAAAATGCTTATATAAAGTGTACAAAAATGATTATTTTTCCATCTCCACATGTGAATTTGGCTTAGAAAGTATGGCTCACGAGTGCAAACAAGAACTTCGTAGAATCGTAAGTAGTAGAGATCATTGTTTTCCAAATATTTTCACTTACTGTTTTATGTTTGAAGAAAATAACTGACATTTAAGTATTTATTTTAAAACATTAGTTATATATATATAATGTATGGTAGCCAATATGTTACTGTATTTTACAAAGTAAGAATTTGTGTTATTTTCTACTCGTTTACATTGAGGTAGAATAAAAACAAATTATACAAAACCAAAGACTTGACAATTCAGGAAAAGTTTATTTATGTAATATGTGAAAGTCTAAGAAATAAATTTATCACTAATCAACTGATCTTAACACATGAAAAGGAACATCTTTACATAAACACCTGGTTGAACTTGCAGTTTGCTGGTGAATAATTTGTTTCTCAAGTTACAATCAAGAAGGCTAAGCCAAGAATACTAGCCTAACCAAAATGAGCTGTATTTATATTACTGGAAACTACACATTTATTGGTTACTGTGTAAGCATGGTAATATATGAAACAGGATGTCTTTAAGCATTTACACACACACTTATACCAGTGCTAAATCCCGACCACCAAGTAAGATAACTAGCAAGTTCATTGGATAGGACACAACTTTAGTCTTTGTACAGAGCCATATCATAAATATTTTCTCTCACTTTTATAAAGTACTCTAGATAAACCTTGTTCCAACCACTGTATTGTAAAGTAGTCGGCAAATTCTATCCCACTGTGTTCTCAGAGCAGTGATCCCAATAGTTTCTGTAGGATACTTCCGCTCTTTGACTTGTTGGATCGGCCCAGACTTTCTACAAAGTCATAAACATTTTATAATACTTTAGATAATTGTCGTTGTAACCATTATATTATTAACAAGTTGATATATCCTATCCCACTGTGTTTTCAAAGTAGGGAAAATTCTTTGAATTGCGCCTCACGAACTTATTTGATATTGACGATGTCAAAGTACTCGGAGTACTGTAACACCTAAACAGGAACAGTGATTCATTGCTTTATATTCGGCAGGTTTCTACTTCAGCTGCTAATAGTAGAATAACAATAGTAAATAGGTGTAAAAAGATTAGAAGAAACTCTCAGGAGATTTACTTGGAACTTTACTGACCATACTGAAAAGAATAGAGTACTATTAATTTTGTTTCTTCTAATTTCTAACTCGTCTACTAACAATAATACTAATAACAATACTATACACTTTTATTTTGCAACCTTTATTTTCATTATACTTTGATTACTCACCTACAACCTGGAGAAATAAGTATAATGTTACAGTACAAAAAATAAATATAATATAAAGCTTTACTGAAAATTAAAATGTTTGATATTTAATTACAAGGTATTTTATTTTCATTTGTTTTAACTGTTTATTATTATAAAAGTAGCTAAAATTATAAAAAAGAGAAAGTTGTTAGTTAATATAATGAAAGAAAAATAATAAAAAACCTTCATGGGGTATACACGCCAAAGGCTTCTACATTACACCGTTCGAATGGGTCATGTCGATGCATGTGTACCGTGTAATTTCCAACTTCTATTGGGGTATTTTTAGTCAGACACGGTTCAAAAGTCAATAAAACAAAAATTAATAAATATAAATAGATTTATACTTTTAAGAGACTTAAAAAATACTGTTACAAGATTTAAGCTATTTAGAATAAACATTTGTGGTTTCTTATTACAATTTGCAGTTATTCTAGAACAAAAAGGTAATTAATATTTATTTCCTAATTTTTATGATGGTTATGAAGTCAGTGAAATTGTTCAACAGTATATAGAGTTAATATTGATAAAATAACAGATTAAATATAAAGTTTTATTTAAGAATACCTTGGATGATTATCTGGAAAGATATAGAGATTACGCAAATCAAACTTGACAAATGTCAGATAAAGAAAAGTATTTTTAATCTTAAAATAAAAATTACTTTGTACATTTGAAAGAAAAAATTCATGAGCAAATTTTTAATAAAAAAATATCTTAAAACATAATTCAAAAGCCAGATATTTTGTGTATGAAATCCTTGTAATATTTATTAATAATCTGCTAAATTTTGTAAAGACTTGCATACATTTTCAAAAATTATAGTACAATTACTCTCACAGATACTTTCCTGGTTACAAGCCTGTAATGGAAGGGTTAATAAGAATACTTTGTTTTAAGAAGATCTATTTATTAGAATATCTTGTTTTATTACATGTTATCAAAAATAATATATAAATTATGTAAATAATGAAATGCATATCTTGTACTGTTTGGTACTATGAACAATTAATTATGAATATGTAAAAATGCTTATTGTTATTTTGCATCAAAGAAGCTAATATTCTTCAGTACTTGCAAAGAAGTCAATATTGTTCTTCAGTATCTGAGAAAAACATTCAATACTGTTGTCTGCATTAGTAATAAATTTTGTGAAAATACTCAGAATTATTGTTTGATATGAAAATCTAGTGCTAGTGATAAACAAAACATTGTTACAAATCATAATTTTTTTATTTCAATTATATTTAAGGTAGTCAGAGCAAGGAAGCTCAAGTGTGTAACATAAGTATCAACTATGTAGAATAATAAATACCAAAGTAATTTGTATATTTCAATTATTGAATAATTTTTTTTTATCATCAAAACTTTGTTTTTACAAAATTATTATAGTTTGTCTTCACACTTCAGAGGACTATGTTATGAAAGCTTAAAATTGAAAGAATGTAATATGTAAGTAAATTTAATGACTTGCAGGCCATTTTGGATTGGTACAATAGAAATAAAAATGATATATGTCTATATATATATATATGCTGCAATTTTTTTTATGCCTTGTATGCTACTAAATAAAGCAGTTTCAATAGTGAAAGGTAATAAATATGTCATTATTGAAATTGTTTTATTGATAAAGTGTACTTATATCACTAGATTTTATTCAAGATGCAATTTTTATTTTTACTAACTAATTTCCATAACTTATAGTATTTCCCTGCCAGACTGAAAAATAATTATTTCAAACTCTGTAGTATTAACAATAAACTGTATTCTTGAGAAAATGTTCAATATGTGTTCAATATTCTTATCTATTACTAACATATAATGACAAGTTGTATTTGAGATGGATGTTCACTGTTGTTCTTGTTATTGGAGACCAAAACATTGTCCTATTCAAGAATAAAACATGGGAAGTCTATTATAAATTTTGACCCTATTTAACATTTATGGTGAATTGTGTTCAGGAGGAATTTTCAGTAATATTTTCCAGTATCCTCAGTAAATTTCATTGAGAAATGCAGTATATTTTTGTGTGGCACACATGTGATTTTCTACCACTACAACAACCAAGAAAAGTAACCACTTATGTGACTTTTCTTGACTTAGAATTCACTAATAATTATTAATACTAGCAGAAATGCCACCCTACGGATGGCTGTTTGTGCTAATACTTACTAATCGTAGTATTCATACCCCATTGAAAAAAATTTTGAAAAAATGAATATTTTGTAAAAAGGGGATTTTTCTGGGAAGTACTGCATGGAAAAAGTGCTGGATTGTGCTGATGTAAACATAAATTGTAATGTTTTTATATAATAAAGGTAGCACCCTTTTTTGAAATAATAAGTTTTTTTTAAGAACTCCATTTTCTCAGCACTACATTTAAAAATTACAACAATAAAGAGATAATTAAACCCTCACATACAGTCCAAGTGAAAGTTGTGTTCTTGTTGTAAGGAGGGTACTTTTTTTAATATTATATTCTGTAATAAACAAATGGTTGTTGCACATACTGTAATTATTTTTCTAATTGTCTGAATCTTGAATACCCAAAGTGTGAAATTTTATGGATTTTTTTGTTTGTGGTACCATTAAGTAGATGGCACCACATTATATTTATTATTTTGGTCACATACATAGATTGATACATATATACATGCTATTTCTTTTCTAGTAAGAAGATTAGCATAACTACTGGTTGTTTTACATCTTAAAGTATGGCAATTAAAAACATTCTCAACATTTTTTTATTATTGAAATTGTCAAGTTGTTTGATTTGAATTGTTAATATATAATGATTTTTCCTTTACATTTAGTATTATATTAGCATAATTATAAATGCATATTACAAAATATAGTAATATTCCTGATAGTTTCATATGTTTTCATTTAAACAGGAGAATTTTCTAACAAGTCTCGAGCCCCAGCAGCTGGCCATTGAAACTTCTGATATCTCAAGCAGTACTCTCACTAGAGCTATCAAGTTAGTTTGTTGGGTTTTATGCTGAACTTAATGCTCTCACTTTTCATTTAGTAAAGAAAAGTACTCAGTAGATAATTTTTTGTATTACTGAAAATCATGCAACATGCAAATAATATATTAGAACTTGACATTGAGTTTAAGAAACTGGAACCAGCTAAAAGTTATGTAACACCAATATGATTTAGATAATTTTTCGTATTACTGAAAATCTTGCAACATGCAAACAATATATTAGAACTTGACATTGAGTTTAAAAAACTGAAACTAGTTAAAAGTTTTGTAACACCAATAGGATTTAGATAATTTTTCGTATTACTGAAAATCTAGCAACATGCAAATGATATATTAGAACTTGAAATTGAGTTTAAGAAACTGGAACCAGTTATAAGTTTTGTAATACCAATGTGATTTAGGTAATCTTTCATATTACTGAAAATCTTGCAACATGCAAACAATATATTAGAACTTGACATTGAGTTTAAAAATACTGGAACCAGTTATAAGTTTTGCAACACCAATATGATTTTGATAATTTTTCTTATTACTGAAAATCTCGCAACATACAAATGATATATTAGAACTTGACATTGAGTTTAAGAAACTGGAACCAGTTAAGTTTTGTAATGCCAATAGGATTTAGATATTTTTTGTGAAGCATTTAAGCACATTTAAATGTTTATTGTTGTTAAATACATTAAAAAAAGATGATTGAGCAAAAAATACTTCTTTTTTGTAATTCATAACTTCATTAGAAGTTATTACTTAATGGACATTTTTTGGAAACATTGTATTTAATTGTATTCATTCTCAGAATTTAAAAGGTCAGTAAATTGAAACTATAACATAGAAAAACCAATGGAAAGAAAAGAAAATCTATATTTGTTCAAGCCAAACTTGATAAAGGATATATATATATATACTGCAGTCAATAAATCACTACATTTCTCTTCATATAACCTACAGTTAAACTTCTTATTCTGACATTAAGAAATGTTTAATTCAGTATCAAAACAAAGTGGACTGAACATTAATACTTTTATATCATTTATTGGATAATTGGTTAACTGAGAAAAATATTTTTATTAATATCAATTTCTTTAAGTATTATATATATTCTTTATTTTGTAACTATATGCCTATTCTTTTTTCATTTTCTTAGCTTATAATAAAACTTGGCTCAGATTTATTTTTCATATTCTTCATTGAAACATATTTTTATAAACTATCTACTTAGCTCTATTGCTTTGAAATAACTTCCTTTAAACCTCCTTGCACTTATCAGATAGAAAAAATATAAATAAAAACTGAACACTTTTTACACAAACACAATATAATATGAAGTTATTATTTGACCCATCCATCAGTAACTATGAGTTTGTTACATTTTTTGTGGATTGGAACAAATTGTATGAATCAACAATATATTATATCCAGGTGACTTCTACTAAAGAAAAGCATCTTGGCATTTTGTTGCTAGTAGTGAAGCTATTGCACACATTGATTACAAGTCAAAAGAGGTAGTTATCACTATCCCAATCATTAGTTTTAATAGTCCCCTGGTGGGACAGAGGTACGTCTTTGTGGCTTTGCTTTAACAAAACACGTACACACTTTTAATATTGTGTACAGTTTGGACCTTCTTATCTAACAAAGAATGTTGATGTACTTGCAAAAGGTTCAGAGGTGAGCTACAAGGATGATTCAAGGTTGGAAGGGTTATCTTATGGGGTTAGGTTAAGATCCTTCCATGTTTAAGTACCTGAGAAAAGAAAAGGTTAAAGGTCTGAGACAATAACTCACCTCTATACAGAGAAATGATATTTCTCTCATGCATCTGCCTGTGAGATTTGCATGTCACTAACCTTGAGTGAAATTTCACCTAAATTCAGATGTTTAACCTGAACTGTGCTGGTGCATGATGTCATTATGCAACAATAACCCTCCACTAATAGCAGGGCAACACGTACAGTAATTCCCCTTATGCACTTGCACTAGTGATAACTTCATTCTATTCCCCAGCACTGCATTGAAGAGATGTGTGCAAAGTTCTTGTCTATGTTCAATGTGATGAGATTTGCCTTTGTTAATGAAACGTTGATTTTCCTTTTCTTTAGCTTTTGTTTGCAAAAGCATTAATTTTTATAATGAATTCTCAAATGATGTTGATTTATATTTAGTCCTGTGTCAATTATGATGTTACACATGCAGGCCTCATTTCTAATATGGCTTCTGAAGGCTTGTTAACTGTTGGGGGATATTGCAATATTGTGGATTACCAGATGCTTACCAGGCCACCTGTTTCTATCCCATCAGCAAATATTCTTTCTCCTCAATGGGAATGGCCTGTTGGTCCACAAATTTTTCCTGATTTGTTTTGGGTAGTGCCTTATCATTCAATTAATGACCTTGACCTTCCAGTTTCTTTCTGGATTTTTTTTTCAGGTGTGATCCTTTCATGATCTTTTGCGTATGTTCTTTAATATTGCTTGTTCTTCACTCCATGAACCCAGTTCTTGGGGTTGATTTTGTCCTTCTTCCTTTCTTGTTATTAGAGTTTATGCTGATTCCTCTCTCGTACAGCTCCTCTCTCCCACCAAATGCCTTGATCCCCTAGCATTCATGATTATTTTTGTCCTGACTTATAGACATTCTCCATTTCCTTTCTAGATTCCTTGTCTTTGGTTCCTGTTTGGCCTGCTTAGAGACTCGGCCTCTTGCCTTTTATTTTGCTCTCTGGTTCCCCATTTTTGTGCCTTCATTTTTTCTCGCCACCATCCTATATTATCTCTCCTCCCTTCAACTTTTGTCTGAGGCACTTCATCGTGCTCCAGAGGAGTTTTCTAAAGAAGTTCATTCCGTTCTCTTTACCTGCTTAACCTGTTACACTTCTTCTGCTCTGTCCCTCCTTACTTTGTTTGTCTGCTTGTGGAATTCATTGGGTTGAGTTGCATTCCTCGTACTTGTGTACATGGTCTTTGTCTGGCTCTTTCTTCACTTAGATATCTTCGGTGGTGTTCATTTCTCACTGGAGACCTGGATTAAAGTTATATGAATTCAGTCCTCATTATCTTCCAAAGTTTTCTTCTTTCTCAACCTTGCCCTTTAACTCTTATTTCTCATCTGGATCAGTGTACCCCTAACCTTCCCATTCCAGATTCCAGACCTTCCTCTTTTCTCTTGTTCTCCCACCACCCAATGTCTAATTCATTACTCTTCTTTATCAATGACTATCCTGTCATGTCTAGCAGTTGGTCTCATTTTATGCCAACAGTCGTTTTTAATTTCATCCCCACTTTTCTTTTTGCTACTCTTCCCAGTTCCTTTTATCCTCCCTCTGACTCCATCATTGGCCTTTTTCACCTGGTCTGTGGTTAGTCATAGTTGATGTATCAGACACCTTTCTATACATCCATATTGACTTGTCCTCCTTTTGTTTTTTATGTTTTGTGTATCAGATTCACAAGTTTCAGTTCCTTTCTCTTCCCTTTGACATAGCATCAACCCCTTTTGTATTCAAATGTATCAGGAGAGCCTTTGCTTGCCATCTTCACAACCTGATACCGTCATTCCTTTTCTTAGATGATTGACTTCTATTTGCCCATTCTTAGGTGGTATCCTCTTCTAACACATCCCTTCTTTTGCAGCAGACTATTTGGTTGAGGTGGCTTGTCAAGATACCCAAGTCCTTTTTCATGCCCACTCAGTGTTTGTTACTTCTGGGTATTTTCTTCATCTCTTATTTCAGTGGAGTTCAAACTTCGTTTTGTTTGCAAGCTATGGATTATCTGGTCACCAGGATTTGCACTTCCCATTTTTATTCTGGGGACTATGGCTTTCCTGGAACCTGTCATACTTTTAGGGTGTGTACACATGCACCTTCTCCAGTGAATCTTGTTGGTCCAAGTGATTCTTTCTCCGGTTCCATTGTCCTTCATTGTGAACCTCCCTTCTCCTTTACTTGAGGAACTGTTGTAGTGGCTGGACCATGCCAACACTACCTCTGGCATTCCCTTACCACCCCCAGACCAAATCTCCCTCTCTTCACCAGTGCTTCCCTCTCACTTGGATGCAGGATACATTAAAGTGCTTGAACTTCTTGCTGTTAATTGGGTGTATTCTCATTTCCTGTTCATTACTGGTGGATCACTCAGTCATGATCCACTTTGACAATTCCATGGTCATTTTTTACATTAACTCTCAAGGGGATACCCATATTCCAGGACCCTTTGCTGTTGGTGTTGGACCTTCTCTTCTGGTCCCATTCACACCAGGTTCATCTTGATTCCTGTCATGTACCAGGAGCTATGCACCTGGTGGTGAATCGCTTTTCTTGGTTTGACCGCATTCTATCAACAGAGTGGTCTCTACACTTCCAAGTCTTTCATTGGTTTGCTTTTAGTTGGACATGCCTTTCATAGATGCTTCTGTTACCTCTCTCAACTCCAAGCTTCTTCTCTTCTGGTTCCTTGTTTCTCATGTTTGTTGACAATCTCAGTCAGGACTGGTCTCATCTTTTTCTATATGCCTTCTTTTTTGGTACCTTACCTTGATATGCAACATTCTTTGTTGAGCCTACCAGTGGCACCTCTTTGGCCAGCTGAACCTTGGTTTATTTTGCTTCTTTGCTTAGTGTCCAGACCCCTCCTTTCCATACTCGGTCACCCCTATCAATTTCTTCAACCTCATTTGTCTCTCTTTCTTCAATGGATATCATCCCTCCATATTCATTTGTGTGATTTGTCTGGTCTATTGCTTTTTGGGTCAGACTTTTCTATTGTTTAGCATTCTTCTCATCATATTCCTGTCACCCTTCCACTGTGTCTATCTATCAAGAAAAATGGCAGGTCTTTTGTCATTGATCCATCCACTACTTCTTTCATTCTGGCCATTCTACCTATATTCTTTTTTTTCTTTTACCTGGCAGTTTGTCTGTAATTTGTATGTCTACTGTTGCTGGTTATCGAGTAACCTTGTCCACTAGGTTTTGCCTTTTTTAGTACTAACAGTGTTTTCTTTCCCTGTTCTCTTCATTCTGTTCCACTACTTCATTTCTTCACCAAACTCTTCACCCAACTGCTATGCCTGACTGGGACCTTAATGTCCATCAACTTGATTTGTAGGTTTGCACTGTTGCTGGTTATTAGGCAGACTTGTCCACTACATTTTGACTTTCCTAGTACCACAGAGTGTTTTCTTCCCTTGTTCTCTCTACTCTATTCCACTCCTTCATTCTTCTCCAACCTCCTTGTCTGACTAGGACCTTAATATGGTTTTATTTACTCTCACGTATGCCCGTTTGAGCCATTGGCTTCTTCCTATTTGTACCATCTTTTTCTCAATATGTTTCCTATTTTTCTTACCTGAGTTCACAGTTATTCAGATGTCCATGCTATTGCTGCTTCTCTCACCTTCTTCTACTGCACTTATGTATTCTTCTACCTAGACTGATCTTTTCTTCCTGAGACTTCTGCCGATTAGGGAAGTAACCATTACTTTCTCTTCTATCTTTCACCAATGTGATTATTAAGACCCTTATCAGCTCGTGTCATGTTTTGGCTGTTTGGTGTTTTGTTTTCATTTTAGAGGTGCACACCTCTTTTCTAGGGACCTCTCTTCTTCTACTCGTACTAGATGGTCCCTTTAATTCTTCCAGTTGGTATATTCTTCTATGGATGTGGTTACTTGCAGATTATTTTACATTTATTTGCATCAGATTTGTCACCTGTCTTACTCTCTTGCTTCACACCTTCACTGACCCTTGGATAAGATCCTCCAGGAAGGAATGTGGATGACTCCTCACAAGTTAGTCACTCATTATCTTTATCATTTGACTGTTTGTCTCCTGCAGGATTTTGACATCCCCACTAGTTGCTATTCTTCACTCATCTTTGAAAGGGGTAAGTATGTTTTTCTTTTCTCTTTTTTTCTGTTGATCAGGATCCTGCCAGATCTTTGGTGTTGCTTCTCAGAGTATGCTTATTCCCAAAATCCATGTCGAGCCAGAGCAACAGAGTGTTCAGCCCATATGCTCAACCAGTGCCCACTGCAAGATGGAGTGTATTGCAAGATTACTTGAGGTATCCTCGTGGTCTACAAATTTTCTCAATTGTCCACTCCAAACCATAACAATTCCATGGACTGTGATAGTAAAAGCCAATACCAGGGAAGTGACTGCCTGCTTCTTTGGCTTGTGCTAGCTGGCTTTTAAAAATAGGGTTTCACGGTCACCCATTGCACTGTCTCCAATAAAAGACTGTTCTGGCTGGTGGGCCCATGGGGATCTGGGCACTTCTACAGGTCTCCCCAATGTGAATCTCTCTCCCCCATCTTCTTGAAATGGAGCACAAGAGATCCTTGCCTCTTATCAGTTCCTAGCTACTGGGACAGGGGACCATGGACAATCCTTAGCAGTTGGGCTTAGCACAATACTGTGAGAAGTAGAGTGGTGGTGACACTCAGTGTCGCATGGGTCATCCCTTAAACAGCTACTGTGCCCTTTTTCTACAGCCATAGTCTGTCTAAAAGAATCAAGGTGAGCACACAATGCATAGTTTAATTGTGTCCTAACCACACTACACATATTGGTTCACTGACCACTTGTGTGCATATGCTCAACTGATCATGTTCAGATCCTGCCATTAGGTGTCACACTCCAAGGGCTACCTTCGGGCACTTTCTGAAGGGAGCTCATCTAGGTAACTTTTTGCACCATCCCTTTCAGCACTTGAGTGTGGGATTGTAGCATTTCTGTGTGCAGAAGTGAGTTATCATCTTGAAAGTTAAAATTTCCTAATCCAAAAATACCTCTTCACATTATTTTCACCTGATCTACCCACTTCTGGCAGACCTTTTTTTTTCCTTTCCTTGTTTATGAATGAAGTTATCGTGAGTGCAAGTGCATAGGGGGAGTTACTGCAAATGAAGTTTATGTTGCCCTACTATTGGTGAACGGCTATTGTCACATGATGACATCATGAACCAGATCAGTTCACGTTAAACATAAATTTAGGTGGGAGTTAACTCAAGGCTAGTGGCATGCAAATCTCTTAGGCAGATGCACAAAGAAAATAACATTTCTGTGGGAAGAGATGAGTTATTGTATCATACGTTTATTTTTTTTTCAATTTTTACTAATGAAGATTTTAGCAATATTTCTTATCCTGAACAGTTTCTAGATGGAAAAAAGAATGAACAAGATAATCACATTAATTCTGTGTGTGGAGGTATCTATCGGAAATACTTTATCAGGTCAAGTAAATGTTAATGTTGATCTTATTGAAGCTTACGAGATTATTTGGGGGATTAATATTAAAAAGGGACTCTGATTTCTTTGTCCTGAGTTATGAGGATGAGAGCACATATTTAAGATTTGGAAAAGACAGTTTAGGTACTAGGTAAAACAGTTTTATTTTCTTGATGCATAGTTTATTGCATTAGTGGTGGCTGATGCCTTACAAAAGTTTCAGAATATAAGTGATTTGAGAAAATGTAAAGGGTGGGTGAAATTTGTATTTTTTTTTCTTGGGTATGTAGGAATAGCCTTTAAGAACCTAATTGCCCCTTTTATGTTGTGTAACACATTTATATGTAAGTTTTGGATTTGTAGTGCATAGAAGAGCTAAAAGGTTGCTGTGATGAATACACGATATTTAAGACACTTGTTTATTTATCTGAACTATAATTTGCATTGTACATTTTCTATAATTGTTTCATCTTTTGTTGTAGGGCTGCTTACAAAACTAGAGAGAAAATAGGAAGAGCTTTATCTACAAAAAGAAATACTCCAGGGAAGCGGGGACTAACACGAGCAGTGTCTTCCATTATAAGTCCTTTACGTTCTAGAGCAACTCCTACCTCATCATTAAAAGGTTTACGACTAGCTTCCACCACCAACTTGACAGTATGTATATGAACTAATGGTTTTAAACTTTTTGTTTTTTCATTTTAATTTTGTTTATGTTCATATTTAACTCTTACATCACGTGGTTGATTATTTATACAGGATCATCCAAAAACTGGTTCCTTTTTTTAAAAAAGGGTTATTTTAAATGTCTTGAAATGTGAAAACCTGTTTTGCACTGAGTGGAATTCTTCAAGAAAGTCAAACAATTAATTGCTTATTTGTTTTGTATCACTAAAAAATAAATGATTGATGTCATAAATTTGTTACAAATAATATATATAATGATTGTGATTAGACATTTACATCCTTATTATATTGGATAAGTAGTTATGAAAGTGTATTAATTGTAAGCATGCCCAGTAGTAATGTATGTGTGTTCTGTTAGACCATAGGTAAGACTAATAATAATTTAATTATAATTTCTTTACTGGGTTCTCAATAAAAAATAAATGTATAACAAGATTTCAACTACACCTTGCTTTTTACATGGCTTCCTTCATCAAGACCTTTTACTCAAAACTGAGAACCATGCTGTGCCATCTAAAGCATTCTTCATTGTAAGATTTGTTTTACAAACAAGTAAAGTCTGATTATATGGGTAAAAACATTTAATTATATTAAGGACAGATTAAATTTGGTTAAACATTCTTGTTTTTGTATATTGATTAATTGGTTAAGACAGGTATAGTAGTCAATTACAAGCTAGTTTACTTTGATTACATGCTGGATTGATTGTGGTGTTTCTATTTGTTTGGAAACAAAAGCATTAAATAAATGTGTTTGAATACGTTATCACAGGGAAAATTCTGTAATTTAACTTCTAAATAATGATTATTAATCTAGTTTTACAGTTCAAATAAGAGGTCTGATTTTGTATATTGGAAAGCTGGTATCACTGTGAAAAGTTAATATTGTTCTATAAAACTCTTAATTGTCAAATGGGCTGACATAGCTTAGTAGCAAACATTTTTGAACTATGAATATTTATGCATGCTCTGTTGCTGCAAATCTTTGGTGGCATGGGTAAAGTATAAAAGTGACAGTTAAATTCCATTATTTGATCAGACAAGACTAGACTGATAATTGTTGGTGGCTGTTGACTAGCTGCCTTCCTTCTAATCTATCAGTTTAAAGTTAGAAGTGGCTATTGTAAAGCTTTTCTCAAAATATTCTGATACAAAAAAAAATAAATAATTATATAATGAAGTTATCTGGGTTGCTTGTGTGGTAATAAGAGTTAATGTATTTAAGTTTGATGATTCACTGATTTGTTTTATTAAAATATATACAATTTAATTACTGATTAGGCCACATTTGTAAAATTTTGTGTTTTCAAAATGTAAGTGTTCTTTTTTTACCCTACCAGCTTTTTGAATTAGTTTTCTGTTTCCTGGCTTGTGACTGCTTTCTACAATTATTGTTAACCATATAAGAAAAAAAAAAAAGACTTATAAATATTGTGTATGACTGACAAGAATCATCTTTTAAAATACTAGTATAAAAACCCATCAAAAGTGATGGGAAACCATTTTTGAATGATTAATGAAAATTATAGAATTTAACAAAAGGAATTTGTCTGCACCTCCTTCAGACTTGAAGTAATTCTTTAATCACGTCATTTTTAGTAAAAACTACGCAGAAAAATTAAATGTTATCATGAACCAAAATATATGTGTACTTTGAAAGAGATTTTTAATAGCACTCTTGAGTGTTTTCACTGTATTCTAGGTTAGGAAGGAGAAAACATAGTGCGGACATTCCAACACAAATGTTTCGACTGTACAAAGGATAAAAGATATTTGGTAGTGATAAACGTTTATTTTTCTTTACGTTTTGAAGGCTGAGTAGGTAATATATATATA